AAATGCATAACGTCAGGTCTCAATCCCGCTCTATCGAAGTCAACATTCTCCTCTATCGAAGTCAACCGGGAAGCAGAAAAGTTATCTACCAATCGAAGATTTTTACAATCAGCGCATACCGCCGCCGCACTCATTATTATGTAACAACAGAATTATACACAACAGTCGGGCCGAATGATTGGCGCGCCTGATCCGTCTCTATCGAAGGAACAGCTCACCGATCGAGATATCCGACAGTTTCATTCGTACGCCCAACAATCCGGGTCTCTGATTGATTTCCTCGCTCGGGCCTAATGAGCGTCTCACGCCTAAAACGCGAACTGATGCTGCCGGGAAACCAGAAAGAAGGGGCGAGAGAAAGACACGCGCTTACAACACCGGGACCCAATTGCGTAATTTCTGAATGCGCGATGACAGCGTCTCTCGATCCCGACGCTCTTTGTCATCGCGAGCGCGTCTCGATATCGTGAAAGCGAGACACACACACACGCGCGCGCGTTCCACACGACCGGAATATATAGGGTGTGCTCCAACGCATTGTGGAAATCAAAATGATCGTTTTCTTGAAAAAGGAAGTGAATGAGAGAGAGAGAGAGAGAGAGAGAAGGCATCATCCCGTGATAAATGTTAATGCCAAGTCCCGACGGTGCTCCATCATTCCGCTTCTATGCGCATTGCGTTGTTTTAGGAATTTTCGTCGTCTCTAACCCCATATTTTTTTCACACCAAACAATGAGATTTCTCAATGCGATAAAGAGCGCACGCGCGCGAAAGAGGGAGGGAGACAATTCATTAACGTGGCGGAAAAGTACACACACGTACGCGAACAATCGCGCGGACACTAATAACCGCTTCGGGACACATCGAGCATCCTGACCACCAACGCGTAACGCGGCCCGCGCGTACAGCGGGAGCCGGAGTTTCACGATTGCTACAAATTGCCTCATTAGATAGAAAGAAGGACCGGTAACATTTTAAACGCGGCTTCGTATTCGTAAACACCCAGTACATAACGACTGGTATGGTATTCGGTAGTTGATTAGATTTAAAAGAATGCCCCGTCACCTGTACTGTTGAAAGGGGACTAGAAGCGGCGGGAAGGGGGGAACGGACGACGGCGGCAGTGATGGTGGTGATGGTAGTAGAGTGGGAAGGGGCAGGGCAAAGGGAAAGGAGCGGTGCCGGAGCGGTGGCCGAGCATCGTGAGCAACAAGGGGGCACGAGGCCCCGGCGCGATCACTGACCGCTTTCGCCGCCAACTAGCCACCTTTCAGCGGCGCAGCCGCATCGGGGCAGCATCCTCCTGCTTAAGGTCCATTCACACATCGCGTCGCTAATCAAACCTGACGAGAAGAAAAGGGAAACAAAGAGAACGGAGAGAGAGAGAGAGAGAGAGTGTGGGGGAGAAACGTCCGCGATACCAAGCCAGTCCCCGTAAAATCGTAGGAATTGCTCTTTATCGGGAGACCGGCCGCCACGTGAGAGAGATTAAAAGCGAGATTTATGTAATTGTCGATAATGTGAAATGTATGTCCGAAATCGTTCGGATTCGAGGTGGCGATATCTAATCTTCGTTTACGACAGCTACCATGAGACCGAATTAAGACCCGTCTGAGAAACAAATTCAACGTCGCCGCGATTAGAACGCGGAGAAGAAAATCTCAATTCGTATGACCGCATGAAGGAATCAATGACTCGCGACTCAAGCTCGGAAACTGTGTTATTCCGACCGGAAACATCCTTTAGGAATCTTCACGCTCCTGATCTATGTCGGATTTTCTTCCGGTCGTCTTCGGATGATAGAAAAGTAGTTGTTACCGAGGAAATTTTGATCCATATAGAAGCACATTCGGACTGCGAAAATTTACGCGCGCGCGACGAAATCTGCCCCCCCCCCCCCCCC